ACAACCGATAGCCCGGAGATCCAGCCGCCAGCGCCGGCCGCCACAATATCTTGAGGATTATTTGCACGAGTAAAAAAAAAACAGTGAGGGTGAATGATATATGTAAACATCCTATGATTATTATTACAATGAATAATTAATGTTGATATGGCAACTACCTTACTTTATACTATTCTACTTAGCCTATTTACTGATTCTCTAAATTACCGCACGTGTTACATTTTCTTCATTAAAACCTTAAAATACAAAAGGTGTTTTATTTCGAGTTTCATTTCAACCAGTACATTTACTCCCCCTCCAGTGAAAAATACAATTAAATATTAATTATAACTTCCAAACAATAAAAATTAATCAATTTTAAAAGTTACTTTTTATGTAAAGTTGTAAATGTAGATATCGATATGTTTTTTAGTAATATTTCCTTTTTGAATTCTAAATGTATTTTATGTTTTGATATTACTCTAAATGGCCCCTCATAATGAGGTTGAAGTCCTTGAAGATTGATTTATTTTAACAAAAACATAGTCGGATTCCGCAAGAGATTTTGGAACAAAACTCACATCTTTGTTATGATGTAAAATTTTTGTTCTAACTATTGAAAAGTGGTTTCTTAAATTTTTAATTTTTTTTGTGAGGAATTTTCAACTTTTCCAGAAACAACTAATTCTCCAGGAACTCTAAGGGCTGGTTTCTCCAACTCAACTTAACTTAGTTTAGCCATTTTTTGGACTTCTTCAAAAAAATTGGCTGAACTAAGTTAAGTTGAGTAGGAGAAACCAGCCCTAAGAGTTTGTCCATAAACTAACTCAGCTGGAGACGACTTCAAATCTTTTTTAACCGCAGTACGTAAAGCTAATAAAATCAGAGGCAGAGTTTCTGACCAATGAATTGAATCACCTGTAGCTATAATTGACGTTTTATGTTGACGGGGAAATCGTTCTACCATACCATTAGCTTGTGGATGATAAGCAGACGTTTGAATTTTATGTGAACCAAGAACTATAGCGAGCTCGTCAAATAATAGAGATGCAAATTGTGCACCCTAGTCAACAGTAATTTTAAGAAGAACACCGAATCTAGAAATATAGTTTTGAACAAAAAACATTTACCACAGCGTGAGCAGTTATATTTTGAAGAGGGTATGCCTCAGGCCACCATGATTCCCTATCAATGATTGTTAGAACATATCGACATCCGTCTGATGGTGGAAGTGGTCCAACTAAATCCAAATGAATATGTTCAAATCTATCTTTTGGTATTTAAATTTTTTAAAAAGGAGGTTTTGTATACCTTGAAAGCTTGACTACTGACAAAAAATACAATTTGATGCCCACTCATTTATGTCTCTTCGCATGTTAGGCCAAAAATATTTTGACAGTACTAAACGTCTAGTTAAGCGAACCCCAGGATGTGATAAAGATTAGTTTTGAAAAAAGCTATCTCATGGAATTCGGAACATAAGGACGTGGAATTCGACCAGAAACATCACACCAAATTTTAAAATTATGAATTAGAGTAATAATTTGTTTTAAATTATTTTTGTATGTTGGATAACATACTAGAGACTTGATGAACTTGTCAGATTGCTGTTCAGCAAATAAAGTCTGAAAGTGTATGTCTTTTGCTGAAAGTACGTCTATTTCAGGAAACCTTGATAGAGCATCTGCTACAATATTATTCTTTCCAGATATATGCTGTATATCACTCGTCAATTCTATAATATATCCTAAATGGCGTGTTTGTCTAGGAGATTCTTCCGTCATTGGATTTTAAACATAAGTCAAAGGTTTGTGATCAGTATATATTGTAAAAACTTGACCTTCTAGAAAATGCTTGAAAAGTTTGATTGCCCTATATACCTAAAAGCTCTGAGTCTACTTTTGTTTGCAATAGTTACCATTTAGTGCAAGGGAAAAAGTTCTTTAGCAATCATTGGAATCGATATGTTAATAATTAACAATTCCAATAAATTTCTGAAGTTTATTTATAAAGTTAGGCTTCTCAAAATTCGTTATTATTTATACTCTATCCATTTATGGTTTAATTCAGAGGTGGCCAAAACTCACACAATCATATATCCCAACTTTGCTAAACGATGAGAGAATGAAGAGAATAAGTCGCTCACGCGTCTTATGCAAACAGTGTTGTCAACGATCATCTTTTTATTTATGTGCATATGTACGTAATAATTTATTAATTAAATATTTGGGAATAAGGGGAAATGGCGCTTAACAAAGAAGTTTGTCGTCCGTGCGATTTCTTTATGACACACCAAACATTGTGCCCTCCCTCCCCATTATTAGTGGGTAAAATCTACATCCGAATTCATATTAAAAATTTTTACCGTGTCTTGCAGCGACTTGATTGCTTGAAAGTTTCGCATCAATTGAGCACGGTCACAGCAAAACCATAATTGTCGGCATCACTGATTCATAGAGTATGCTCATTTATGTGTGAAAGCAGCGCAGTTTTTCTCGTGTGCGTGTGAAAGCAGAAGAGAAAAATTTGGCACGCGTGCCTATGAAATGGCCACCACAGTATAGACAGAAGCCAACCTTTTTGGGTTGTTGTTGTAGCTATATTCACCCTTGAGGAAGGCACTGGGTTGTGTGCTGCTATTTAATGGCCTTCCTCAGACTTTTTTTTAGATTTCAGGGTTGTGTGCTGCATTATTACTAGATAAATAAATTTAAACATTTGATAAATCGTGATTTTATTAAAAGAAAATTATAAATGGTGTTGAAAAACCAAACAAACGCTCGTGCGAAAGCTCTATTTTTGTATGTTAAAGTTTATACATGGCGATATTGATGGTAATACAAGCAGTGTATTCTTTTGTGGATTTGTGTAGAATGGTTCTCTCACAGGGGCGATTTCGGTTGAGGCCACGAGTTTTCTGGGTGTTTATGGCGTTAAGTCCTGTTTTTGTGCTGTGCACTTTACGGAACCCATGCTGATGATTCGCTGTGATCAGGTGGTTCGTGAAATACGGGAGTACCAAGGCCCTAGTCTCTTCGCTACCGGGTAAAGAAGGGTTATCGGACGATAAGACTCCTTTGTTGGCTGGCTTTCCCGGTTTGAGCAGTAGGACCACTCTCCCTATCTTTCAGATGTCTGGAATGACGAGAGTGGCCATTGACAAATTGAGGACCTCCGTTAGGTACGCTACTCCCGCAGGACCCAAATTTTTCAGCGTCAACATGCATTTTCCGTCGGGCTCAATGGCGTTGGAGGCTTTCGCCTTCCCGATGGCTACCCTTACCTCACCGCTGGTGAAAAAAGAGACGCACTAGGTTTTGGCAGTTTGTGCAGCCTTCTGGCCACTCGACGTTTGGCTTTATCCAACGGAGGATGCAGAATGAACTGCTTTCTGACATAGCTCGCGCATCTTTCCGGGTCCGACGAAGCGTGGTCACCAAGGTCTATTTCAACACTGTCGTCACGCTTTGCCGGGTTGGACAATGACCTCGGTTGACCAAAGCTTACTCACACCAGAGGCGAAGTTGCAGGTCTTCAGATGCTCTTCCCACTTCTTCCGCTTAGGTACGTTTACAAGTTGAATTGAGATCCCTGTTACGGGGGTTTCCGGTATCGGCCTGACGAAGGTTGTCACACTCATCGGCCAGAACTGCCGCTTCAGTAGGATTTGTTCGATGTTAGCATAACCGACTCTAGCGGAACTTTTTGTAACCGTTCATTTTCTAGACCATTATCATATTCCATGCTGCCTCCAATTTCTAGATTTATAAGCCCTCCGAATGGTCGGTTTCACACTGCAACATTTCTGCCACCAGAAGAACTGTTTGTAGGCAAGAGAGGCAGTGCGGTGAAGTAAAGTTTCTCAACAAGTTTTTCCAGCTTCTACCCCGCATTAAAGTGGCAGTTCTGCTGCAGCGCACTAACACATGCGCAACTACAAAAATGCCGCTACGTATCAGACATCTGCAGCGGGTGCATAATTTTCGTTTATACTCGATCATCTAACAAAACCCGTTTTGCATCATTCTCTGTATACGAGCAGAAGTATTGTTCGTTAGCGACTGAGCTCAAGACGAACATGTTGGCCACAACACCCGATTGCTTTTCATACATACTTGATTGGGTTCGGGTGCTTTGCAGCTCAATATACCCGGGTGTTCGAGTTTCAACCCGAGTGTGCACAAAATTTTCTTGATTGGCTTATGGCGTTTTCGTTTCCACAAAAAATGTTGCCTTCTCATCGCGCTCTTCTTAGTGTTTGTGCGTAGAGGGCAAAGAGAAGGTTGCATCATCACGACGCCTACATCCATGTAGGTATTAAATGTGTGTAGATCGGCAATGCCCAAGCCCTATGCACTCGGTGCACATTTATTTTTTGTAAAAGTACTTATGTACCTACATGTTTTTAGGCTGTGTGTTCTAATATATACACACACAGCATTCCATGCGAAACTATACGAAATAGATGCACAAACATTTTTGTCTGCTTTGCTTCTAATTTTTTTCATTGCGTATGCACAAGCACAAAGCAACAACATTTTAATATGCTTTGTTGGAACATATTGGCGCCAGTTACCTTCAGCGTAAATTTCATTGTTGTCCTGCATTTTATCGCAATGTTCGGGTGTCCGTTTCATTGTTACACAAATTTTCGGGTTAAGTGCGGATGTCCGAGAGTGGTGTTCGCTTGTGCTCAATTTATAGCGAGCGTGATCGAACAGACTCGTTCGTACTCAAATCAGCAGTCGGGTGTGCATCTCGATCGAAGACATAGTAGCCGAGTGTGGCGTTCGCTTGTGCCCGATTTTTAGTGAGGGTGATCAAAAAGGCTCGATCATACTCAAAGCTGCTCTCTGCTACGTATATTCAAGCGTAAAGTTACAAATACATTAAAAACACATTTTGTTTTGCTGTTCTGCTACTTTTCATCCAGTGTGACACCGTGAGAATAATTGTTCCGTCATTCTAGTGTGAAACAGCCCAATAGAATTTATAAAATAATTTTTTTTTTTTTATTTCAGAAAACTCAATGGATTGTACGGAAATGTTAGGCCTTCATTTTAGTCCAACATGTATCACACTAAAATGTAATTCCAAAAGGGATGTACACAACAAAAGAATAAGAACAACAGATGCTGCAGCTCCAGGCACTGGTACATATTCAATTGCGAAATTTGGAAAAACTCTTACGTATAAAAGTTTAAACAAACAAATGCATCGCCACAATTTCAAATTAAGAAAAAGACTTCATTCAACAATACCTTCAGACGCGACAAACCTTTTGAAAGACTCAACAAATTTTAATAAAATAGATTTAGCAGGAGTTTCCAGTAATTCTTCCAGATCAGATATTCTCTCTTCCGATGTTACTGTGTCAGCAATGAAATTGCCTTCACTATCACCGGCTAAAAGAGCGTTCTCATCATATTCGTTAACATCTGAACCGGCGTTGATATCATCGTTCAAATTAAACGGGTTTGGTCATGCAATGCTGGTTATCAAAATTATAGAAGTTATAAAAAGAGTACTGTTGACGCATATTTTACCTAAAATAGCGATATCAGAAAAAACATTAATTTTAAATTCAACACAAGCCTCTTTAAACTTCCAGCTTTTAAAAGTACGAAAAGTTTTATTTGCACTCGCTTTTTTCATTTTTGTATTTCACTTTGGAGTTGTTTTAGCTGATCAAGGTAAATCATTAATATAAGATTCAGTAGTCTTAAGTATTGACTTCATATTTAAAATATTCTTAAAGTAATTCTTTTGGATACCACAAGAGAAGCTACCTTGGAGTGGACACGTTATCCATACGGACCGCAAGCTCAAACACCTGGGGTTGGTTCGGCTCATTAATCGTTTAATATGTTTCACATTTATTTTATTGTAATTTCTTAGTGGGTGGAGGAGTCATTCACAGACTTTGTCAAAGGCATAAATTGGAGAAGTTATGTTGTTTGTGATGTTGCATATAATAATGTAAATAATTGGCTGTGGTCACCTTTCATCGACCGCGGTCCAGCAAACCGTCTTTACATAGAAATTCAATTTACTATTCGTGACTGTTCATTATTTCCAGGTAGAAACAAAATTCGAAGTTCAGTTCCGATTAACTGTTAATGTGCTTTTTATTTTAAGGAAACGCACTATCCTGTAAAGAAACGTTTAGTCTTTTGTTCTATGAGTTTGATGCTGCTACCCGTGAACCTCCACCCTGGCAAACAGACAGTTATAAATTAATAGGCAAGTATAAACTACAATTTAATTAGTAGTTCACTGTGTAAATATAATCTTACTTTTTTAATTTTGTAGCGAGAATAGCTGCCGGTGAGGGTCGATTTAACCAAAACTCCGATGTTGATATAAATACAGAGGTTAAGAGTATTGCTGTTACAAAAAAAGGTGTTTATTTTGCATTCCGTGATCAAGGCGCTTGTATAAGTGTCTTAGCCGTTAAAGTTTACTACATTACATGCCCGGCAGTAACGGAAAACTTTGCACATTTCAATGAAACCCCTACTGGCCGAGAAATAACAATAATCGAAAAACAAAATGGTACTTGTGTTGAAAATGCAGAGCCGTACGAAATCCCAACGTATTTGTGTAAAGGAGATGGAAAATGGACGATTTTAACAGGCGGATGCCATTGCAAAGTTGGATATGAACCAGATTTCATAAATAAAACTTGCATAGGTAATATACAGTTATTAACTAAACTCCCTCTAACAAGTTTGTGTAACATATTAGATATTCTACAATGTTTTTAGGAACAAGTTAATAATCCGAACAATGAAAAAATGACAAAAAAATTCAGTTCGATAGAAGTTTTTGAGGCAAGCATAAGGGTACATTTTTTTTTAGGGAAACGAGAACTACGGTAGTTATGAAAGGTCAAAGGTCAAATGCAGCGCTCTTTTCAATTCCAAAAGTCTTGAAAACCATCAAACGGATTATAAAAACTGATGTTATTCAAAAGGAAATAATGAGTCGTTTTAATTAGATATACAATAATAATAACAATAGATTGGCGCTTATTACATATGTTAGTGTTTGGCCGAGCTTCTCCTCCGTTTTGTGGCGTGCGCCTTGATGTTGGCACACAAAGGGGAGAGACCTACAGTTTTACGCCGACTCCGAACGGCGATTGTATGAGAAGGTGTTTTCGTGGCAGAAATACACTCGGAGGTTTGCCATTGCTTGTCAAGGGGCGACCGCGGTTAAGAACAAACCTTTTTATACCCGAGCGCACTTGTGCACAAGGGTATTATAACTTTGTTCACATAACGGTTGTTTGTAACAGGAAAAACGAATCGAGATAGATATAGACAAATATATACATAAATGATCAGAATGAAAAGAGAAATCGATTAAGCGGTGACTGTCTGTCCGTCCGTCCGTCCGTCCGTCTGTGCACACGGTAACTCGAGTAAAAATTGAGATATCTTAACGAAACTTTTTACATGCAAATTTTTTGGGCGTGGGACGGAAGGTATTGAAAATGGGCGAAATCGGACAATAACCACGCCTACTTCCCATATAACTGTAATTTTCAGATATACGAAAACTGCGATAGTTTAGTAACTACTGAAGATAATTCACTCAAAATTGACATTTAGTATAACTATTAGACGAAAAATAAGAATATTATAAATTTTTGAAAAGTGGGCGTAGCCACGCCCACTCATGGTAACATGTGTATATCTTGGTAACCGCTGCACCAATTTCTTCCAAACTTGGCACAGCATACCAAATGGCCGAAAATTTACAAAATCGGAAAATAACCACGGCCACATCCCATATAATGGTAATTTCGAGAAATACGAAATCCTCGATAAATCAGTAAATATTGAAGCTAATTTATGTAGGATACCGAGTGTTTTATTTTCATTTACTTTATATTTTATT